GCGATGAAAAATAATGATGTTTGCTTAGTACTGAGAGCAGATTTCCAGATTTCAATAATGGAGGATAGATCGTGTCCCATTTTTCATCTGACGTCGAATTCGAGCCGATATTAATAAATATAGAGTTTGATATGATGAAAAACTATCACGAACGGAGTGAGTTGGACATGAAATTGTAGAATTTTATTATAATGGTGCCAAAATGATATTTGATACTGCTCGCAAAATAACTTTCGTGGTATTCATCAATGGATAATTATACTTATAGTATACGTAATTGAAATGTTTTGATACCACATCAGTGGAGATGGACTTCACTCAATTTTAGTTCATCCCCTGATGATGCCAACTCACTTCGAGGAAATTGTTGTTTGTGTTCATTCCATTCTAAGCTAAATATTTCACTTCTCTCAACCAACTTACAGATGATTCTACTGAAATATGATGATACCTGGTGAATTTTATTTGCAAAATAGGTATTGGTTGTACGTTGGTTTTTATAAGGCGTGTTTGCAGATAGACCAAAATTTTTCGGAACAATAAAGTTCGAAGTGAGACGTCTTTTTTATTACAGATATTGATAATGTCAAAAATTCACAATTTGAAGGTAACTAACATTTGATATTTTTATAGCATTTCATTTGAAATAACTACCATCATCAGTGACAACAATTTTAAACTACGGTCCTGTCGTTACTTCTTCGGTAAATTGTTTCGATTTCTTCAAAATATAATTCAGATTTCCCAATGAATTCGACAGGTAGGCACCCTAACACAATGAAAATTCGTACTTTTCCGTTTTGTAAATTTTTGTATTGCCGTAATCCTTCTTTCGAAGGTTATTTCTCGCCAATCAATTATAATTCGCAATATTTAAGTGGTTAAGACGTAGAAATAGGGAAGTTGAATATATTTGTAAAAAAATAATATGGACGGGCGAAAAAAAATTCACCAACAATGATTGGTTGAACAGAAATAGCCATTATGGGTGGAATAATACAAATGAACATTCACATGTTCGAACGAAAAAATTTCCGATGAATGGAAAAGAGTAATAATTCAAAATATCTCGTAAAAAAATGAAAGACTTTTGAAGTGTGTTACAAAATTCGGAAATTCATATAAGGAAGTACTAAAATTTACTTTTCGTCCAACTTAGAACATATAACATGGATGGGATTCTATTATATCTGAAATGGTAAAAGAGCTAAAAAATTTAATTACTGCTCCTCTGACATTTGTAATAAACACGTGTTTACAGCAAGGTAAATTTCCAAATTGCTTGAAGTTAGGAGTCATCAAGCCCTTGTACAAGAATGGAAATAGGACAAAAACCAAAAATTATCGGTCAGTCTCTTTGTTGTCGGTGTTTTCTAAAATATTTGAGAAAATCGTGGAGACACAAATGTATGCATTTTTTGAAAAATTTAGAGTTCTCTCCAACAACCAGTTTGGATTTAGGAAAGGTCGAAGTACAGAGGATGCGATATATGCTTTAACTATTGATATCTATAAGGCCATGGACAAAAAAATTTGCGTTTTTGTAGATCTATTTTTTTTGTGTCACAAACGCCTTCTCCAAAAACTTCAAACCTATGGGATAAGAGGACCCGCATACCTACTAATGGAAAGCTATGTGTCAGAACGAAAACAAGTTACAGAAATCGATGGAATAGTAAGTTCCCCAAGGGCAGTTTCTTATGGAGTTCCACAGGGAACGGTTCTTGGACCTCTATTATTAACTCTTTACATAAACAGTCTCATGACATATCGATCTACAGGTAAAATCATCAGTTTTGCTGATGATAGGGCAATACTTTATAAGGACAAAACTTGAACAGATGTAAAAAATAAAGCCGAACAAGATTTTCATGGTATATGTGACTGGTTCAAATTCAATAGTTTAACAATGAATGATGAAAAGTAATACTATTTACCATTCACATCATATTCCAACTATTTACCAGAATTAGGTCCTTTGGTGGTGAGCAATATAACACACATTCTAGAAAAAGATAGGTCGAAGTACTTAGGGATAATTACACACTTAAGATGGGAGCTTCACGTTAATCATGTTAAAAATAAGCTAAAGGGATTGCTTATCAAATTTCGATATCTCGCTGACTTTTTGAGTACAGAGAACTTGAAAATATCATACCTCGCACTAATACACTCCCGGTTATCATATGGAATATAAAGATGGGGTGGCGTAGCTCCATGTAAACGTTATGCAAAGTGGATTTTGAAGATAATTTACAGGAAAAATATTACTTATTCCAGTGATTTATTATTTCTGGAAAATGGCATTTTTGATATGAGACAAATCTTCACTCATCGGATTCTAATCAATATTCACAGAAACAATTGAACATCATCACAATACGAAAACAAAAAGTAGATATATCAATGAAACGACATGTGGAAAAACTATCGGTTTGTTTAGCACCAAAAGTTTATAATCTACTTCCTGATGATATAAAAAAGGTTAAATCTTATAAATCCTACAAACTCCATATGAAAAAGTGGTTGAAGTTACAGATAGAAAAGTTTTCAACGATCTCGTAGATTTAAAACTACTACGCTAACTTACGAGTAACATACATCAGACCAAATATTTATTTGTATGAATTATGAGAAAAAAGAAACTGAATTTTTCATTTTCATAAAAACTTCTGATTCATTTTATGACAGAGTAACCAAATTCTACTACATGGTGAAAGAGAATTGTTTATTCCCATTTGTAATGAATTTCTTCAGGTGAAGACCATTGTTTGCTTGAGACCAGCGGGATAACATATCGTTAATACTTCAAATTTTATATCAAAAATACAATTTCAATGAATAATAGTTACACGAAAAATGGGAACTAAAAGTTCCTCTGTTTTTATACTACTTTTTTCAATCACTGACGTTGCTGCAGTTTAGTCTAAAAAGGTCATTCTCAAACGAGTACAATAAACTGGTGTAAAAACAGAAATGTTTTTTCTAATTTTTCATGATGATGACCTATCACGTAATAACGGCTATATCCATCAATCTATTAGATAATTAAACATTTAAGGCATGAACAACTCATAAAATATGTATTAATTAATACTTTTCAATTATCATTATGCAAATTTCCCTCACTTTATTCACTTTTGCCACAATGAGATATCTATGAAATTCAAAGAAACCGTGTATTTTCAAACATATTGCACACAAAAAAAGATTCGATAGTAATCGTTGAATTCTTTAGAACAATATTCGATATTTTTCAATAGACGAATTTGTTTTTTGGCAGTACTTCAATAATGAATATTTTTATATTCACACATCGATAAGAGGAGGCAGATAAGAAGATGAAAATTTGTGTGGGTATGCATATAACTTTTTTATCAGATCGTAATATACATCGTTACTCATTTCAATTTTGACACCCTTGACAGAAATAGTGAAACAAACGCTCAAGTTCACAAAAAAATTAAAAATAAACACTTTGAAAAAATGTTGTGATTGGCACCTTCGCCATAACTTGGTATCGAATTCCGAGCCTCATGAAATTAATTAGTCAGATATTTCAACGATTTCGTGGGTTGTGGGATATTATATTTGGATCCGGTCCAATATTCGATAAGCAATAATATCTTTTTCTGAATTCGGTAATTGAATATTGGTTGAAATGACATGAGGACAGATTGAAAATCGCGTGGAATTGCGACTAGAAATGCAACAGTTTCAGGTAAAAACGTCAAGATAGTAAGTGACAAGCGTTATACATATAACAGTACTGATACATGTGCCAAGAAAAATAACATAATGAAAAAATCCAAACATTCATCTCTCCGAACTTCGTACATAGTAGGATCTGAAAAATTCCTGACAAAAAAATACAACTCTCCTGGCAAATATCACAATATTATCCAATGAACGTTTGTATAAGTTTCAGCGGGACCTCGCTGGAATCAATCTGATGATCACCTACAGATCGGTTTCGGACTATTACTCCTCGTCAGTGCAGAACTGATCTCACCCAGACAGCAGAGCCATATGTTACTCGACTGATCTGCTATCCAGATGTTTACAAACTAACATAGGGATCATGCCCAAAAGTGTATGTAGGAAGGACTTCGAAACATTTAAAAACGAGAATCTCAGAACATGAAGTTTCGAAGTGAAGAAGACCAATTCCACCTATGCGTGTCATCTTTTAGAAAACGAGAAAAGTTTCAATGTTTGTGAAAATTGTGTAATTATAGTCATGAATAGTGTTATCATTTTCATCAAGTAACGAGCCACTCCATTCACAATCGAATGTTGCTCAAATGGTTCTTGAATTACTTTAATTATACTAACGAAAACACTGATTTATGTGTAATGTATACATATTATCAAATATTTGATTTGTTGTTGACTTTTTACACCTTCAATTATCATTATATCATTTATAGCAACTATAATAATGATAATAATAATATTTATGAACACCCGCAACCATTCAACTCAGACACTTCAGCCCTAGCGCAGTTCAAAGCTTTCAACAGAGAGTTTCGTATTTTTGTGTAAGGGCTAGAGAAGGTGTGGGAAGGGAAACGGACTAAGACTGACGTGTACTATAAGTTGAGGTGTTACTAAATTGATTTTTATATTTTTTGTGGATAAGACACGCTGTTTCCAAAATAAAAAGGCATACTAAGGTCAGAATTTATTGCTTCACAAATAATGGGCGACATGAATCCCTGTAGCTAGCCTTGCATAAATATATGATGGATATTTTTTGTAGAGAGAATACCATATTGAAACGAAATTTTGCACAATTTCCCCAGAAACAAATTCCATAACGTAAATAGAACTCAATTTGTACAAAATAAACTGATCTTGTGATAGTAGTGTCTAACTCTCTTGCAACAACTCTTACTGCATGACATGCTGCTGCTAGTCTTTTACATAAGTAGTCGACATGGGAATCAAATTTTAAATACTTTTGTTCAAAAAAGAAACATTCTTAACAGAGTACTTACCTTCTTATTCGACTTGAAAACAGCACATTTGAAAACGTTGGATGCTCCGTCTCTAGCTATGTAACTAAATATCTTGAGGTCCTGGGAATCGTGCGAAACGTAAAATATCCTATAAACGGGATGGCTGAGTAATACTGATTTTCCATCATCTATCCATCCTTCAAAAAACGGTGNCTGAAAGAAAGACAGAAATAGACAATTTCTTATAAATAATCTGGTTTCACAGTTTTCAAAATTACATATTCAAAAATAGCAGAATAATCCTGAAGGATTATTCTGCTAAAACCTCTAAATGTATAGCTGTATTTAGCTTCAACAATACGCTCCCTAGTTTGACGATTTTACCCAATTATTTTAAATTTTATCACTATATGCACTGTATTGATTGATTTGTTCCAAATATCGCATTTCAAAATCAATTTGTTCCTGTATTGATTTTGAGGTAACCTCAGAATCAGCAGGCAAGTGAACTTCAAATAGCTCTATATGAAATCTGCACCGATAGCAGAAATTTGCACTGATAGCAGACCAGCCCTCATAGCAGATTTAGCCAAAGCCTCGGTAGATAATAACATTATCCTGAGGTGGCTTAAAGGATACGACAGGAGTGAAGGTAATCGCATTGGCGACTCTTTAGCCAAGGAAGCGGCTGGACTAAGAATTTCAGGACTCAGTATACCTACAGCCTAATAACTTCGACTATTGCGGAACTAGCCAAACGTTACACCCATGCTCAATCCCTAAAGAAATGGGATAAAATCAAAAGATACAATCTTGCCAGGAGCACTCTGGTCGACCCTGGGAAACTGGCGCCGAAGAAGTATCTGGCGATGACCAGGAAAAATCTATGCTTAACAGTAGAATTTCTGACTGGCCACTGTCAACTAATGGAACACCTCCATAATATGGTGCTAGTGGACACACCTCTATGCAGGATGTATGAACAGAAAGATGAAACTGTCAGGCATGTCCTATGCGAGTGTCCGGAATTATCGTCAATAAGAGAATGTGTGTTCGGCGAGTCTTGGCCTAAACCTGCCGATATAAAGGAGATGTCTCCTAGTGACCTGTCCACCTTCCTGGAAAAGACAGATACTCTACATACTCTACAGATACAGATAGATCTATGTGAATAGATCTTTTTTTATGTAACTTGTGAAATGTTATACATTCAAAAACCAGAAGAAGAATTTATATATTAGTCTGTGGTGTAAATGTACTAAAATAAAAATGCCCAATTTGTGTACATTACTTAATATAAAAATAATTTTGGACACTTCATCTTTGGAATCATCTGAAATAGAAACATAATTCAAAAGTCAAACTTCGAATAGAATTCTAAATAGACTATTTAGAAATAAGTTCACTCTGAAGTACCAAATAATTCACAAAAGAATTTGAAAATAGCGTGAAAATCTATATTTAAAAAAATGCAACTTCTTTCAACCTCCAAATTTTCAAAGAATACTAAGTATTGTTCTATTTAATAGAAAATTCAATGCAATTGAACTCTCATCTCAGAAGCTATAAATCGTTAAAATGTAGCATAATGTTGGTTACGCCAAATATATGAAAATGTATTCAAAGAACAATCTCAGTGTTACTATCTCCATTCGGGTTTGAAGATCATCGCCAGCATGAGTGGCTGGCTTTTCAGCAGCTGATAGTGGATCTTTTTTGTCTTTCGCATATAAGGCTTTGTTGTATTTTCTGGTGGGCTGGAACACTGTTTCTATTTTATGCTTCCCTAAGATTTTTCCTATTCTGTCTGTAACCCTAGGAATGTACGGTGGAAATGCACTTGCAACCGCCCTTGAGTTTCCTCCCTATTTTGACTATTTTGTGAAAGTCTTCAGTTTCATGGCCTTGTTGATCTCGGTTACACTGTCTCTTTTCGATCTCAAAGCCACTTGAAGATGCTCAATTGAAGCCTTAGATCTGCGAAAGATCCACTATCAGCTGCGGAAGTATACCGTATACCACGTACATGCGGAAAATTTTATATTGGTACCACCAAATGATTCATGGGTATCCATGATCAAGGCTGAATGAACATCAGAGAAACTGTAGATTATGTCAAATAGACAAATCGACAGTAGCGGAACACGCGCTTAGCGAAGGAGATCACACGATACTCTTTGAAGATGTGAAACTACTTGCTCCCGATCATGTATCATGTATATCACAGTCGACTTGTACGAGAATTCATAGAAATCCATAAACATACGGAAAACTACAACAGAAAAGAGGAGGCGGTATCGCTCAGCCGAATTTGGAATCCCATACTAAAAGATGCTGAAGTGGCAACAGTCCAATGCAATGTTTCGTCATTATCAGGTAATAACTCTTCGGCCAAAGGCAACGCATCAACAAGAGAGGCGGACTACCTGAATCGACATGAACACAACCTACAAATCAGAAATCACAAGACATCAGTGAATCATCAAGATGAATAAACCTCTGAAGAAGCCAGCCACTCGTGATGGTGAAACGTTAGGATACAGTTCCAAACTACGACGGCCTTCAAACCCTAATGGAGATAGTAACACTGAAAATCTCGGCTGCATGAGCCTTGGCCAATTCCTCAAAGAGTAATATTCAAAAACAATTGAATATATGTGAAAGAAAAAAACGAAGAAGCTATTGGACATTTAATGTTTCTCAATGAACTGAAAATGGGTGGAACACCCTAGCTAAAGAATGAAAGAGAGTTTGAGGAAGACTTCGATATTCGTTGAAAACTGAATATTATTGATCACGAAAGCAATTCTTGAACCCAAATGATGGTTTTATTATTTTCTTCATTCATTTCATACAATTTAATTCGAGTTCGTATCACAGTGAATTAGATTCAGTGAGAGAGCTATGAAAGTTGAAGTAATGTGTCCAACTGAGTCAAGAAAAATAAAGTCGAAAAAAAATTGCTGTTGAAAATTATTTTTACACTCGCATCAAAACAAGTGAAACAGCAATGTTTCAACTTCTGAATTCACAACCAGAAGGATTTCAAAAGATCCAAGGCTCCTTAATAAATATCTAGTGTTTCCGTAGTCTCAAGCTACTTCCGTGAAACTGGGAGAGTTTAGAGCATTTTCTTGTATCTCCACATGAGCAGAAAACTTTAACGTTTCTTAACGAGAACACTCACCTTTCGCTTTTTCCTCAGTGTAACTTTGACGCCATCCACGGAAACTTCTATTGTCACCTTCTTTTTCTTGATTCCTTTGGCTTTGAACTCGTACTGAAAGAGATATACTGTTTTAATGGGCACATCAATCCTGTCGCAAAAGTTAACGCGTCGCATGTAACTTTCTTTGTTTTAAGCGCGATGTTTGAAGTGTAGGTGGTGCTTCAAGGATTTTTGGCAGATTTCAATTATTTTATTACACTCATTTTATAGTAGAAAAAACACTTTGCTATTTTGATTCAAGGCAGGATTGTCGAATAATCCTGGCTGAAGAGTAAGCTGCTTAGAATTGATTCAGATTACAAATGATATTTGTGTATACAAACATTATTCTCACTCAGAATTATACAGGAAAGGAATTTAGCTTCACTTGAATTAGGTACTTTCATGACCAATATGAAATTATTTTCAATTCGTATTATTGTATTGTAGGGTTTCTTTGGTTTGATATAATTGTTATTTTCAGCTATTCATTTTAATTTGCAATTGTATCCGTTCTTTCAGGGATTTCAAATCATTTTATATTGTGTTAGACAGTTAGACAATGAAATTCCCAACTGATGAAATTCATGAATCCGTAATCCACTACAAACAACATAGACACAGTCGTCAATAACCAACACTGTCATGAAAAATGAAATTCGATAAAACAAATTGTCGTATACAACAACTCCAACCCGAACTTGATTCTCCTTCAGGAGATGAAAAAAAATCATCTTCTGAAGAAGAAAAAAGTATCACAGTTCTGGTATTTGGGAAAAGTTCTTGTTTTTAAATGTGGAATTTGAATAATGACTGTCATGGATACTAACAGAAGTGTTCCTGGCATATTCGACGTTGATGCTGCCCCGGTTTCAGATGTTTTAAATAATTACAGAGTATCTAATATTAACGAAGAATTCAATCCAAAATTTAAAAAAATATATTTTAGCAGTTTACCACCATATAAGTCTGAGTTATTACAAAAATCCTTCCGAGCTAATTTCATTACTAGCATATGGAACAATGCAAATCAAAAGCAACCTACCATTTTAACTTCTGAAAACAATAGGTGGACTTTAGAAGAAAACTAGTATCCTTTTCATTGCTTTGATGGTGACCAATTACCAGGAGACGTTAGTGAATCTCTTCAAGAATCAGATACTGAGGAATTTTTATATTTGCAGTTTACTGTTTTATAGTTCTTTCATCTATTTTTCGAAGAAGAAGCTGCCAGAAATGACAACATAGCTGATGATGATAAAGATTATGACTCGAATGGACAATATCATGATTGGGCTAATGATGAAAATTACAATGATTATGACAACGATTACGATGATAAAAAGATAAGCAAATATTTTTTTACCTAATCATAGTTAAGTATTTTTTATGAAATAATTTTTGTTTCAATTGTTCCAACTGTTACCTTTTTATAATAAAATGAAAATAATTCATCATGAAACCAAATTGCGTGGAATAAATTCGTTTTCCTGAATATATGCAATAAATTAACTCAACTATTAATTAATGATTACTTCAATGTTGAAGTTCGTCTTATTTGAATCGAAAGCATCAACTACTTCAAAAATATTCAAATATTTTACTCTGAGGCGCAAGCGCATATTGCTCTTGAGCTCATTCTCTCGACTGTGTTCAGGGAATGTTTAGTCACTACAATTTGTCTGACTGATGACATATAACTTTGTAGTGCCTCATTATTCCATAATTTGTAACCAATTCCTCATATTTTGAAGTATACATATCAAAATATCATACATATAAAATGAAAAATTCTTTTGCGTCATATCGACAACTTGGTTGATGACACACATCAAAAAGAGTATATCAGTTCTTGTGTAGCAGCGTTTATATTGGACTCTATTTTTTTCATACCATATTTGAGGAATCAAAATGGGGGAGAAAAAATTCAATAATTTTTAGTCTGCTACAAGCACAAGTGTATATGTTAATGATAGAGCACATTATCATGGTTAACTTTTGCGCAAAGCAATCAACTTACCCGTATCCTTCGCATGGCAGCCACGATTTCAACTTTGCTTGTGGGTCTTGGTACGTCCAATGTGCCGATGTACTGGAACAAAAATTCATAGATGAAATCTCCAACATTTGATTTCGAAGCTAATAACGGACTGGGTGGGCAAAGGGAAAAAACTGTGGGAAAAATATGTGTTTTTAACCACTAGTTCGAACCCTGGAGTATTTTCTAACGATTTATCTCATCCTGCATTCAACCAATACGTCATTCATAATATTATTCTATTCAGATCAGTACGTTAGAAAAAATTTCATTAACTACTAGAAAATCGATATGATCATCAACATAAATATACTTTCGAAAATGAGAGATTCAGTGTTCCACATTCATGTTACATACTGGAACAATCTATTCACATTTCGATAAATACATTGGCAGGATGACATGGATATTTATCATAAATAAAACTGTTGTGTTCTCAAGGATTTCGAACACTACTTCATCACAAATATTGCTAAATAAAAAACATAAGAAAGCTCATTGAATATGTGACGATATCTAAAATATCTTCACAAATCCAATGAGTAATGAGGGGACGGTAATAAATAGAGAATCCAAAAAGTTTTCAGTTTGAATTGGCCTATATTTTTAAAAATAACTGCAAACCTTCTAGAATTTTTATGAAAGAAGAAAAATTTACAAGGAAAGAAATTCCATCTCAACCAACACAAACAATGCTTTCATACTTCAGTTTTCGACGCGCCAAATTGTCAGGAATCAAACCATACTGCCTTGAACTGTACTGTGGTATAGATAGTTTCCATTTCCAAATTGAAAATAGTGTTCATCACAGTAAATAAAAACTGTCCGTTAGACGTTTGAAACGTTTGAAATATATTCTCCAGGATAAAAAATGGTATTTGTGGGCTATCCCTAAGATATAGACATATACCATAAGAATTTTTTTTTGTTTACCTTTTTAAGGTGTATAATACACCTGGATGGCAAGAAGATTTACGGACTTCTGGCAAAATCTTTCAGGATTGGCTCACTCTTCGAAGCTTGATTCCAAACAGTTGTTGGACTACAGTAGGGATGAACTACGATGTCTAACAGGCCTTCTCACAGGTCACTGTCATTTGAATCGTCATATGCAGGGACTTGGACTGTCGGAAGACAGTGTGTCTGGAAAATGATGAAACAGCAGAGCATATACTTTGTGCCTGCCCCGCTGGGGACCGAATCAGGTTCTTTGAGTTCGGCAGATCCGTACTCTCACCATCTGACCTGAAAGACCACTCACCATACAAACTAATCGGCTTTGTTAAGAAGCTGGGTTGATTTGGCCGTGTGTGAATAGTTGTGAGCCACAATAAACCCTTGTGGGTTGCAGTGGAGGGTCGAATATACCCACACACTTTAGACCTTCCTACCAACCTACATTTTTTTATCTACCTCGTAGGGTTCAGCCAAAGTTTACAATGTAAACGCCAAAAAAATGTGTTTATTCACGACATCAGATTAGAAACCTTTGAAATTATAAGTACTTGTAGAATAGAATAGAATATAATAGAATTTATTCGTGCAATGTATACATAAATAGTACTCGCATACGTCAATGGGATAAACAGTATATAAATTGAAATCAATTTAACACAAAACAGTGAAATAAATACATAAATATTGTTGTATGAAAATATATCTATTATTAGACATGCAACAAATTTGTTGATGAGTCGAAATAATTAAAATATTCTTCGAATGTATAATAGGCATTCTGTAAAAAAATATTCTTGATTTCCACTTTATAAGTGTTCATACTCATGTCCAAAGTCTGAAACTCATATGGTAACACGTTAAAAAAGTTCAAAGATATATATGACTAAGAGTTGCGATTTACCTAATCCTAATTTGGGTAGCCTCACATTTGTTTTGGCCCTGGTATCATGGTAGTGTATGTCCTTCTGCTCAGTCAATTTATTTTCACCTATCAAATTTTTAACATAACACAGACATTCATATATGAAGCAAGATCGCAGAGTTAATATACGTAGATTTCTGAAAAGAGGTTTACAATGATCGTCGTATTTAGCCTGTGCCATAATTCTTACTACTTCTTTTTGTAGTTTGAATATTATACCTAGATGACATGATGAACCCCAAATTATTAGTCCATATGTCATTATGCTGTGAAAAATGGCGAAATAAGCTACTCTTGAACAATCCGTTGTTATTATGTTGCTAAGTTGTCTTATCATGTATATATACATGGACAGTCACTCCACCAGAAAGTTACATCAGCGTACATTATAGGAGACACATTCATTAGTTTTAAAGTCATATCATTAATGCAAATGATGAATAATCCAGGACCCAGGAGTGAACCCTGTGGTACTCCATAATTGAATTTTAAAGGTTCTGATATGTCGCCGTTGAAATTAACACGTTGCTGGCGACATGCTTTTCCTCTGATCCCATAATATTCTAATTTTTGTAATAATACACCGTGGTCCACCATATCAAACGCTTTGAACATGTCATAAAATTTCGCACAGAACAATTTACGCTCCTCAAAAGCTTCTAGAATATTTTTATACATTTCGCAGATTGCACCGATGATCTCCTCTGTCTGTAGCCAAATTGGGCATTGCTTAACAGGTTCTATTTTTAGTTTTTCTTTAATGCACTGTTTGGAACCTTGGGTGTAGTACTGTACTTGTTATGAATGTTACTGGAGTTTTATCCCAACACTTGGTGGTGGTATTTTTTGTATAATTCAATGTTCATACAAAAATAGTTTCGAAAATATTGTTTCTTTCGTGTAATTGAATGTTTATATGGAAGAGGTTATTTCGAATGGGCTTGTTCTCCCAGTTTGTGTCTGAAAGCAACTTCTTTGCATAATTTACACCTCTTTGTAACGAGTCTATTTTAAAATCAATTGCTTTTTTCTTCCTTTGGAGAATTTCCATATACCCAAATAGACAACCAGATATGCCACTCGAAGAAAAAATGAAAGATATTTACTGTCAGAATTTGAATTGAGTCAGTGATATTATTTATAAGTCCATTTTTCAATTGCCTTTATTTGTTATAAATCAATGGAGAAATAGATAGTCAAAAAGGATTTTTATCTTCATTCGAGTATCAAACAAATTATCCAAAATCTCATGGCTGTAAATTCAGTGTCCTGAAATAAAACCCAGGGTGCACACTTATTTAGTACCATAAAAACATATCTTTTTAAACTTATTATGGGTAAGGAGTCGAAGTGGTGATGTTTCCCGTGCAAAGCCCGGGTGTTCTGATATCTTTGAGATATAAGAAATCAATTGCCAATGCGTTGGTTTTTTTACTTGGTGGGCAGACATATGTGTTATGACGTCACTTCAGCCAAAATAAACTCAGGTTGATTGTTTTATATTTACATATTACGTTATAGATTTTTTAGAACCTGCGTTCAGACAAAGCAATGATGGTGCTATATTTCATAGGCCGGTCAAGCTAGACATTGGACATTTCAAATTAAATAATTGAAATTCTCATTTATTTCAAGATCAAAGACCACCGCGAGAAATCTCTGTTTTTCTTTTGATTAATTCAAGTAATGGTTTTGAGCACGATTCCCAAATGATTAGGGAAACCTACATTTCAACATCACATCCACTCTGATTGGAATGCATTCATTCATGATGAAGAAATAAAGATCAGAATTTAGAACAGATTTTTAAAAACGTGGTGCAAATGCATAACAAAATATTAGAATACAAATTTATGGAGTATGTGGCATTAAATCGCAGCAAAGATCACGGAACTATAACCTATTAACAATTTATCGGAACCTTTGAAAAATGAAGGGCAAAATCGATGCTAAGAGATAATTTTGCTCGTTGTCGAAACCTTTCAAGAGGAAGTTTTTCCTATATCGCACAACCTTCGTAAGTTTCAGAAAAAACTAATTTATCTTGTTTAATATCACAACAAACATATACTTTCTAGATTTTGCAAAATCAAAGAGCCAAATTTTGATTTTGCACACTTTCCATTACTGAAGCATCATATACACATATAACTTAATATTTGTTTTCACCATTTATCTTTTAACTCCTGTCTGAACTTTGACCCCTCTTATTTCATTATCAATTTAGTCCCTATTCTCAATGAAATATACTATAACCATGAATTGATTTTTCTGTAGTGAATTAGTTACGTCTGCCTCAATAAAACTTTCATGGACTGAAAACACCTTTATTCAAACCTTGAACATCGCGTGTTTCGCTTTATAAAAGTCCAGAGTTGATTAAGATGTTGTATCGATAATCACTTATATCTCATGACGTCACATTAACTTTAAGCAAACGCGAAGTTTGACTGTCTCGTAGCTTGATAACGGTAACTGCTATGGATTAAGAATTTTTGTCATTGCATTTAAGATGAGAAGAATTATCAAAATATATGGAAAACATTCAAATTTCAATGTTATGAAAAGATTAAATATTGAACAGGAAGCCTTTTGAATCATTAGGATGTTCTATCTGGAATATTCCTACTTGACCGTCATCAATCAAGATATACAAAGTCTCCAAAATCAGCAGAAAATAACGTAGATTCAATTGAGTTGGAATGAGAGAGCTTTTACCATGGTGATATATTCAATTTTCAATGTCCTGATGGGTGGCGGCTAAAACATCTAAAATTCTGCCAGATCTTACAGACATAAACATAAGTACTCTACTGAAGCTATAGAGCTTTTGTGTGATGGTGCATAAACAACACAATGCATCGCTATTTTTACACGCTTTATATTAGCTTCACCTGTATGTATGGATGTATGTTTGTAAGTTTGTAACTTTCCTTTCCATTTCATATCGGGATCTGTATTTGACAGAATTATCAACATTCCTGCTTAATCTATCCGCGGGCAGATGGTGCTGTACGTACCTCCTTGATATAATTCAAACTCACTTCACATGTATTTTCTTTATATGAAAAAAGTAATTTTTCATATTAATACGCTTATATTAGCTTCACCTGTATGTATTTGTGTATGTTTGTTTGTTTGTCAGTTTGTTTGTAACTCCAGATTTATCGACATT